AAAAAAAAAAAAAAAAAAAAAAAAAATTATATATATATAAATTTAGAGTTGTATTTGGATATAAATACTATTTGGGAGCTGTTTTTTTAATTTTAGCGAGTGATTTGAAGTGAAATTTTTGAAAAATAATTTTTTGAAGTTTTTTCATATTTTTAAAAAATTTCGAAATTCAACTACAAGTGAAATTTGAAATTTCCATGGTCAAACACTGATTCTGGAAAAAGTACTTTCAAAAAAATTAAAAAAAAATTATGGCCAAACGAGCCTTAAGTGCTTTTATTACCGAGGCAAGTGGGTATTTCAAATTTGAAATTTTTGACATTTAAATTTTGAAAAGTTCCCAAAATTCATCTATCCCAAAGTTTAAATAGCGTAAAAACACTTTTTTACAATATCAATACATATAAACGTTATATTAACAATATAAATACACAAGGTTGTTTGAACATATATTTTATCTTTTTCTTCCACTAATTAAACAAAAACAAAATCATAATCATGATTAAGGTCTGTCCATTTATTGGATTAAATGGTGAAATATGGGATGATAAGGAAGATAAAGTAGTCAAGATTTTTATATCTCATGGTAGAAGAGTGAATTTCATTCAGTTTTTATTCATCAAAAATGGATCTTTTGTCTTGTCCAATAAACATGGTGGTGATGGAGGCTTAAAATTTGATACAGTGAGTTATAAATTTACTAGTATTATTTTCTATTCTCAGATTTTGTTTTCTTATTTCAAATTTTAAATATTTGGTGAACATGTTTAAAAAAAAAAAAAATACACAACTTTTGAAAATTTTCCTTCATCATTTTTTTTGCTGAAAAGAAAATTTTGTACTTTGTAACTCATGTTTTTAGGGTCTACAGATTGACGTTTGGATAATTTTAGGAAAAATTTTGGGGTATTATCACTTTTAGCCGTCGTCAAAAAAACTATTTATATTTGGCAGTTGAAAAAGTATATAAAATTTGTATAATTTTTGTATATAACATATATATATATATATATATATATATACACACACACAAATATATTTTTTTCGGCTATTATTTTGACAACGGCTATATCGTGTCATTTTCCCAAAAAATAAATTTCTGAAAAGAAAAAAAACAATCTTCTAGAAGTTTTGCTTTGTTCTTCAAAGAATGTTTTTTTGGTCCAAACAGCTTAAGCAAAATAGGTTCTGAAATGGTTCCTAGAAAAATAGTGTGAAAGTGCAATTTTTTGGTTATTTTCGTAAAAATTTGGTTTAGTTTTATGAATTTAAAGTCTCTCCTAAAAAAAAGATAAAGTTTTCATCTTTTGAAAGTTTCTTAAATCCAAACGGCTAAGTTAGGGAAAAGCAAAAATCAAGATTTTTTTTTTCCAAGTACATTATGTCGTTAGTGTATAGAACTTAAACTCGCGACTCTTGTGATAAAAACTTATTGTGATTTTTTTTTTTTTTTTTTTAGATTAAACTTGATTATCCCTCAGAGTTTATCACTTGGATACGTGGTTACTATGTGGAATTTCATCCTACAGTAATTCAACCTGCTAATTATGTGACATCAATCACATTTGGTACAAATAAAGCTACTTATGGACCTTTTGGAAGCCATGAAAGTTCTGATATTGAGTTTGATTTTCAGTTTGGAACAGATGGAGCTTTTGGTGGATTTCATGGCACAACTCATATTCATTATCTTGAAAGTATCGGTGTTTATATCAAACCAATTACTTGTTCTACAATAGTAGAGAACAGGGAAGCAAATAACAGTAATGTTTCATGAATTTATGAAATTCGAACTTAGTGAGAATTGAGTAGTAGCTCGCTGGTAAGGCCGTTGACTGATATCTTATCGGAGTTTTGGATTTTCACTAAATTATTATGTTTTCTTTTATCTTTCTCTTAGACGTTCCTCTACCTTAAAAGGAACTTAGATAGGAGAGCATGGAGGTTGAGGGTAGTCGAGCGATTTCTCTCTTTTTTGTGGTGGAGCATGGTTCTAGTTTATGACATGTTATCTACTATTATTATTATTCTAGCATTTTCTTATTCATCAATATTTGTACTAATGTTGTCAATACGTTTCCTTATTTTCTTCATAGCTTTTGTTCTCTTGTATTTTTCAAACCTGTCTTTTTTTGTGCCAAGAGTCTATAAGAAACATTGTCTTCACCTCAAACGAGGTAGGGGTAAAGTTTGCGTACACCCCGCCATCCCCAAATCCCACTTGTGAGATCACATTGGATATGTTGTTATCGTCGACAAATATGTTTATGTTTTTGCCCATATTTATTCAACTAGGACTGCAGCTTTTGGTTCACCCCGCACGTCGAACGTGGGGGGCGAAACGCAACCGATTGTGCTTGATAATGCCTTGGCATTAGGTATGCAACACAGAAAACCGACGCCGAACAAGCCTAATTTGCGCTTGTGCCACGACTGAGATGGCTAAGGGACAGCAAATATGCATTTCATTGTTTTTTTCCTAAACATATCTCCAAATTGAATGAATGCTTTGATTACATTTCATGCAATTCCATATACTAAAGTATCACATCGATTTTAAAGGGGGAGTTTGGGGGGGTCGGGGTGGGTGGGGTGGGGTGGGGTGGGGTTGGGGGGTTGGGGGTAAAAAGTCTAATACTGTGCTGCTCCAAACTTTTCTAAAAGTACTTTAAAAATGAAGTAAAAAAAGGAGGTAACTTTGCTAGCTTCTCTGCCTTCTCTTTGATTTTCTTCATCTTTATATAAGATCTTCACAGCATTTGTTCTATACTCGTCTGTCACAAAATTCACTGCAATGCAAAAGGGGAAAAAAAAAAACCTTAAGATGACCACGGCAAAAGGCTCGCTCCCATAATCAAGAAAAACTGTAATGCTACGCTTTAAAAAAATGTTACGCGGAAAACTGCAGGAAATGCCTTAATCAAGAACGATAGAAGGTCTATTAGTAATTAATTGAATCGTTGAGTAAATCAAGCTCAGTAATAATCACTGCAAGACAAGCTTCACGAGTTGAGAACGAGGCTTGAAATTGAATATCACAGGCCACAGGGTAATTCAATGAATGTAAAAGACAATTCACTTGGATCACAGCATCAGAAATGAGTTGTGTGCTTTTAATTCTTCAGAGACATATCACTTATGCATAAATGTTCAAGATACTGCAAATTCGATAAAAAGTTTTCAACTTCTTCCTCGTTATCTTCTAAACCAGTAAGATCAAGAAATAACAAATCAATAAAAGCACTTCTTGATTGGACGAATTTGTATCCCGATCAGAGCTGTAAAACAAGCTTTTAACTTGCTTCTTGATGAGCAAAGTACTAGAAAATTCACGCAAGAATACTTACTTTACGAGTACGGGTTACTTGCATTCAATCCTTGATGGAAATTTACAAAGTATTCAACGGTGGCATGAGTGAACTGCGCCATAAGTACCGCCATCTACGTGAGAGGACACTTGTTCTTGCTGCATCTTTTAGGGGCAACCAACAAAGAATCTGAATGAGCGCGTCATCATCCAACTTACTGATAGATTCACCTTCTGAATAGATTTTTTCTTCACAAACTGAAACAATAATAGATGAATCATTTAGGGGTAAACAATAAAGGATCTGAACGAGCGTTTTACCATCCAACTTATTGAGAAATTCACCTTCTATATTGATCTCTTTTCCAAAAATTGAAACAGTAGTAGATGACATTGCCGTTCCCTTTGTCATCTTTGGGGATTCTGAGAAGCAACACAACAGGTGTGACTTCGGTTAACCTAATGCAGCAATAGACTCAGAATTAGCTCAAGCAGATATGAAGCTAACAGCATATGGAAAGAGTTTTCGATGCAAGTAGAAGGAAAGGTGTGCTAATCAAGTATCAGATTCTTTTTTTCTTTCTTTTTTTCTTTTTTGACAACCAAAAAACCCCTGAGGGCCAATGGTGCACAATCCGAAACTCGGTGGATAATGAGCCCACCCCTCTATCCTTCACCACTTAAATACCCGACTTTAATCTGCGGCAGGGTTCGAATCCGTGACGTGCGCAGAGGCAGATTTAAGATTTAAGATTTAAACTCTATTGGTTCAACCTCCAATGTTATTAGCATTGAGCCCATTGTATTTTTAAAGTTATGGGTTCATATCTACTAGTTTTTGTAATTTTAGTGAAATTTTACACATAAATTTATGTTCTGCATCGAACGTACTGGGTTCAGTTGAACCCAACAGGCCGACACTCCTATGCTGCATCCGCCCTAGGACGTGCGCCTAACCTACACATCACAAGTTGCTCTTACAACTAAACCTATTTATTTTGGTTAGGTCAATTTCAAGAATCTTATCACTATCTTGAGTTAAAGATACAAAAAAAGAGAGCAATTCAAGTTCCCATTAAACTTCAACAAGGGAAACTACTTCTCCCAACAGTAATACTGGGAGTTAAATCTTCTAATACCAAGTGTATCACTTCTTCATAATAAAACATAATTATTAATTATTATTAAGTTCAAACATGTTTCATTTCTCTACCTAAAATTTTAACTCGAAATTTAGCTCAAGTACATAGCAAAATTTGCAATGCATATACTCAGGACACTAAATAAAAATTGATTCTTCACAAAATCAATTGTTTTTTCTTCTTATCCATATACATTTATTAATGAATCAAAACACAAAACAATTTTTGTTCCACAAGAATCTTAATATCAATACTCCCAAAATCAAATCCAAACACTCACCAAGAAAATCCCCAAAACAGAATAAACCCAGAAAAAAAAAACGTGAAACATAAAATGAAAACTTTATTCGTAGAAACAAGCAGCCAGTTTATATGTGTGTGTGTGTGCCTTTTCCCTTTCAATTCTCAAGAATTGGAAAGCATTGAAGCACAAATAGAAAATCGAACCTGACTAGGGAATTAGCCGGCGAGATGGTGACGGGCGGTGGCACGCGGCAGCTGCGGCGGGGGAGAGAGAGAGAGAGAGAGCAATTTTTATCAGTGACCCAAATGTCCACTTTTGTAATTGTGTCCTCACTGCCAAAAAGGGGTCTTTAAAGCATTTAACATGCCACGATACCGGTCAAAGAATAAGATTAATTACCATTTTAAATTTGTTTACAATAATGTTTATCCTAATATATTTTTATATACTTATCTTATAAATTATTATTGGGTAAATATTTTTAATATATTAATGCAAAAATAAGTAAGTAAGTTATTGTTTTTAAAGAATTATTATTAATAACTGTTATATAAATATTATGTAATCTTTGTAAATAATTTGATAGTGTAGATATTTTTTCTTCATAAGTGCACGGAACTTTTAAAATCATTGAAAAATAATGATACATTAAATGCAAATTAAAGTTTTTATATGTTTTTATTATTTAACTTGAAATAAAGATTTGAATTTGAAATAAGAATTCAGTGAGTATCTCAAGTGAGCGTATAAGGTTGAGGAGGTTATGCGAAAGATGAAGAGGGGCAGGGCGATCAGACCAAACGAGATTCCAGTGGAATTTTGGCAGAACGTGGGATGGACAGGCTTGGAGTGGCTTACTGATTTGTTTAATGTTATTTTTAGGATGAAGATGATGCCCGAAGAGTGGAGGCGGAGTTTGATAGTCCCGTTGTACAAGAACAAGGGTGATATCCAAAATTACAATAACTATATAGGCATCAAGTTGATGAGTCACACCATGAAAGTTTGGGAGAGGGTGGTCGAGAGTAGGGTGAGAAGGAGTGTGTTCTGGTACCTACTGGTATGTCAGGATCCAATTGGTCATGAACATCGTAAGGTGATGCTTTTCTTATTTTGGAGAACCAGTTCGGTTTCATGCCAGAGCGGTCGACTACAGAAGCTATTCATCTCGTAAGGAGGTTGATGGAACAATATAGGGAGAGGAAGAAGGACTTGCATATGGTGTTTATTGACTTAGAAAAAGCCTATGATAAAGTCCCTAGGCAGGTTTTATAGAGATGTTTGGAGATTAGCTGTCACGCCCTGAACCTGGGCCTGGACGTAACACGGCACTCGGTGCCTAACTACATGTGACCGAGCGAACCAACTGGCTGGCTGAATCAACATGTGATATCATAACATACTGAATACAGAAGATAAACTAACACATGCTGATATACTGAAAGTCTGGATGATATAAATCAAAGTGCGGAAATACTAATACAATTCTGAAATATATTTGTAGCCAACATAACTTAACATGAAAAGCCTGAGACTCTGTCTAACTGTTATTCTAGTCTATGAAGCCTCTAATGAAGTACTGAAAACATTGACTGTCTGAAAATACTGAAGGGCTGTAAAGTAATGATAATGCCCCGAAAGATCACCAAACAGCTGATATGAGAGTCCTAGCGCTCTGAATCGTCAACCTGTAAATCATTACCTGCATTGTGAGATGCAGGCCCCGGGCAAAAGAGACGTCAGTACATTTGAATTGCACTGGTGTGTAAAGCAACTGAAAGAAAGAATTATAATGCTGAAACTGAAACTAAGCTGATAACTGAGAATTGATAATTGATAACTGAAATGATAACTAATAATTGAACTGAACAAATGAAGTAAGGATATGAATAATCCCTCTTTTGAATGATGAACAACCTGTTTATCTGAATAAATAAACTGCGGCCTCAGGCCCTATATATATATATATATATATATATATATATATGTGTGTGTGTGTGTGTGTGTGTGTGTGTGTATATATATATATATGCACAACTGCAGCCTCGGGCCCAAGTATACTTATACATAATTGCGGCCTCAGGACCAAAGATGCATAAAGCATAAACTGAGGCCTCATGCCCAAATACAGCTGTTCAACATTCAAGAATATAAAATAAGGAACTGAGAATCATATTACAATACATGATACTGAAATGCTGAATCACACTGAGTTACATAATACTGGAATACTGAATAGGACTAGACTGAGACATGTATTCTTGAACTGATTATGAACACTGAAACTTTAACTGTTTATGACATGGTGAGTAAGATATACTGAGACTCAGGGACATCAAGCCCAAGTCTATATTGAATACGAACTGAGCTCACAACATTCAGAATGAAAGTCATGAACGAGTTATGAAGCTAGAGAATAGAAGTTCTACAATTATTCAAGGAACTAGGCTTAACTATATTTCTGAGGTAATTGGTTACGTCGTAAAAGAAGCATAGTGTAGGGAGAATCATTAAAATTCCCAAACATAGAGAGTTAGCCTCACATACCTTAACTTCCTGCTCTTGAGCGTAATACAACGTTTGTCAACCCTTTTTAACTTTAATCTATAGCAATACAAGTCAAAGGGATTCCATATTAGCTATGATGCTCATGTTTTGGTCACTTAAGCATCTTATCAAACACTTGGTGAGAATAAAGCTTCATAGTCCTTATTAATGGTGTCTCTACACCCAATAACCCATTCCCTTGCTCCTAGATAAATTCTAAAGTCTCAAATAGTTATAATCAACATTATTCTTTATCACCCATAAGGTAAACAACACCCTTAACCAATAATCAACAATCAACACCCCAAACCTATAATCGTTCATGATTTTCTATCAAACCCATCAAATCATATCTCATGAACTAGGGTTTATAATCATTAAACCAATACTAGAATCAATTAGAGGGTGAAGACATTACCTTTTTGAAGTTCAAACCCTTTGAATTCGAGTTCTAGGCTTCCTTCTCTCAACAATGATGTCCCAATCGAATATCTAATGATATGGAGGGTTTATTCATGTTAATAAGATGTAGGAAAATTGAAATTAACTTAGAATCACCATTAGAACTTACCTTGGGTGGTGGAAGGACCCTTAAGGAGTTAGGTTTTTGAGAGTTCCCTTTTCTAGAGCAAGTTTTTATGTTTTAGGGCTGTGGGGGACAAAATATGGCTTTAAAACGACCCCTCACGAGCGCGCCCGCGCACCTGAAGACCTGACCGTGCTAGTGACCGCGCAAAACGATAGTAACACTGCCTCAAAAGAAGCGCGGCCGCGCTAGGGGCGCGCTACAGGGCGCACGTATCGCATACTGATCTATAAAACAAGCATAACATTTTTCACAGAGATCCGTTCAGGCTCCATAATATATCGTTGGAAAGATATTTCAAAGGACTACAACTTTCATGTTTCGAGGTTTTCCAAATACCTTACAAGTTTTTCACCAAACCTCCTGCAAGACTGATCTTTTGTAAACTTTGTAGATTTTATCGAATCTTGTACACTTCACTCTTCGTCTTGATTCTAAAATAACTATTTCCACCCATAATCATACCAATGGAACTTCACATGTCCAAAATATAACCTTACCACTCATTTAACACATTCACACCTAAGCTGAATTTTCGGGGTGTTACATTAGCGGTGTCCCGGTAACGTACATTAGAGTGATTAAGGACATGTACGATAAAGCTAAGACTCGAGTGAGGGTTGTGGGAGGTGACTCGGACTATTTTCCTTTGGAGATAGGGTTACATCGAGGATCAGCTATTAGCCCATTTTTTTTTGCCTGGTGATGGATGTGTTGACACGACACATTTAAGGAAAGGTGTCATGGTGTATGTTATTTGTAGATGACATAGTGCTGATTGATGAGACACGTTGTGGGGTTAAATTAAAGCTAGAGGTGTGGAGACGGACCTTGGAGTCTAAATGTTTCAAGTCGAGCAGGACGAATACAGAGTACTTAGAGTATAAGTTTAGTGTTGGGGCTCATGAAGCAGAAGTGGACGTGATGGTGGATACACAAGTCATCCTAGAAGGAGAGATAGTTTCAAATATCTTGGGTCTGTGATACAGTGTAATGGGGAGATCGACAAGGATGTCATACACCGTATTGGAGCGGGATCGATAAAATGGAGGCTTGCTTTTGGTGTTTTGTATGACAAGTGTCGCACCCCGTTTTCTCGCGAAAGCGGGTTTCAACATTGTGACAACTCTTTTAGATGGGAGATAGAGTGCTAAAAGAAGAAGATTCGCCACCTAACGGTTTTTAAGGTGCGTTAGGGCACCTATTATGCAGAACTCTGTTTGACTAGTCAACGCCACCAAAGATCGGGTAAGGTCTCAAATTACTTCAAAGAGAAGGTGTTAGGCACTCTTCGAGGTCCACAACTGTGGTCCCGGCCGAACTTAAGACTATATGGATTATAATTAGGCACGATGATCAAATAAACAAAGAGAATAAAAAGGTCAATGAGTTTTATTATAACACAATGAGAAATAAATATTACAAGGATATAACTATAACGGTCTATATTAGATGACTAAATGTATAAAGAAGAGGGGGTTCTAAGTGTTTTTAGCCTAGAGGATCACCCCTTGCAACATAAATAATACATCACAACTCTCTTGAGGTAGGGAGTTACTCATATTATTTAGCGGGCACAGACTATCATCTCTTGCTACCCGATTACTATTTTAAAGTTGTTTACCTAAAAGCGCTCTAATTCAATTCTATGTCGTACCCTATGTGTGCACTACCCGTCCCATGCCTATGGTCCAGGAGATATTGGACCTTTATTTAGGGTGGTTCTAGACTTTACTTAGGCTGCTCAGAATGATAAAACTAGGCGACATACAAAACAAGTTGGACTTTATGTAAAGGGCACCTAAGGGCTCAAGTTAGCCTCCACACTTAGACAGCAAATGCATGCAAACAAATTCTCACATTAGGCGTTAGACCGTTTTAGAATTGAGGCAAATTAAAGTCATTAAACCCTATAGACATGATTTCTATGTGACCTTGGATTTAAACGTGCAGGCAGTTTCAGATGCAAGGCGCCACTCTAAACTTATAGACATGATTTCCACACAACTATACAGTTTAGGAGTATTTGGTATTGCATGTTGATTAATGAGATTACAGGTTATAAGTTATTAAACCTATAGACACGATCTCTAAGTGATTTATGCAGTAGGGGGCAGTGATAACCATTGGAAATACTCAGAATTACTCGTATTTGATCTTATGGGCATGCTTTCTAATAGTGGCACGGCTAA